CTTCCCTGAACCCTGCCCTGACTACCCTTCTTAAAGTTGCAAGCTCATCCTTTTTACTTTATTCTGTTTGCTTTTTCCTATATCATTTAACCACTTTCTAATGAAGTATATATTCAATTTATTTATGTATACTATATATGGTCTGTCTTTCTCCCGGAAACCAAGGTTCTTTGTCTCCTACATTCACTGATGTACTCCAAGGTCATACAGAAATGCTTAGCACATAGTGAGTGCTCAATAAATATATTGGATCAAGGACAGCCATGCTATCTTACATTCTTTATATTCCACATAAGCAATCAACCTTGACTTGCCCTCAATTTTAGTTTTTTTGAGTGATTAGATACATATGTTTACCAAATAAACCAATACTTATATCTCTTCTTTCCTTGCTAAGTCTATTTAAGTTTATTTTAAATGTGTGACTAGGCAAGTAAATAATTAAACAGAATAAATAAAACAAAACAGTGGTGTGCTAGATTGTATTTCCTCACTGGGAAAAACTCTACTATTGGTATAGAATATAACGTTTACATTTATTTTCACAAGTCATTCCATAATTAAAGCTACCACTCCACTGTGTGGACTATCCTCTCTTCATGGTGTCTTACCCTTGGGCAGTGACATCAGGCTAAGATAACAGTACTGCCACAAGATCAGTGGGTACCCTGCAGTGAGACCCAGTCACAGGAGTCAGAAAAGTCCTGCTTAAACTCTGAGAGCTCCTTGAGGGTAGGGTTGGGATTTGGTCTCTTTTAGTCCTGGATCTAGGTACCAGGTGAATGAAGGACAAAACTAAAGGTGCTGATGGTGAGGGCCTTTCATGACCATATGCATATTGTATGGCAGGGTTAAACACTGCTTCCATAATTCTTCAAAAATATGACATAAAAGGAAGTGGACAATTTATGTCATTCCTACACTTCTCAGAAAGTAATTAACCTGGTTTCAGCCACTTGTCTCTAACAGGTATTTTGTGGGAGACAAATGAGATGATGTTTGTGAAAGGACTCAAGTTCTGTTTCATGTCAGAACAGTTTGAAACATCTGTTTCTTTTAAATTAAAGTATAGTTAATTTACAACATCATGTTAATTTCTGCTGCACAGCAAAGTAACTCAGTTATATATATATATATATATATATTTATATGTACATTCTTTTTTATATTCCTTTCCATTATGGTTTATCTCAGGATATTGAATATAGTTCCCTGTGCTCTACAGTAAGACCTTGTTGTTTATCCATTCTATGTATAATATTTTTTTTTTTTTGCGGTACGCGGGCCTCTCACTGTTGTGGCCTCTCCCACTGTGGAGCCCAGGCTCCGGACGCGCAGGCTCAGCGGCCATGGCTCACAGGCCCAGCCGCTCCGCGGCATGTGGGATCCTCCCGGACCGGGGCACGAACCCGTGTCCTCTGCATCGGCAGGCGGACTCCCACCCACTGCGCCACCAGGGAAGCCCTATGTATAATATTTTGCATCTACTAACCCCAAACTCCCACTCCATCCCTCCCCTAGCTTCCCTTCCCCTTGGCAACCACAAGTGAAAGACCTGCTTTTAAACTATCAGAGAGCAGTGGCTTTTTATGATTCACACGGGATGGGTCAGATGTTTCCTATAGTAAGGGGCCTCCACTTCTCAACCACAGAGTTTGTAATATTCTTGCATCGCTCCTCCGCCTGTGCACCCTGGATTTTGAGGCAGAATTCTGATAGCGACATGTATGACATTTACCTCAAGGAAGTCACTTAATGTCTCAGAACCTCAATTTCTTCACTGTAAAATAAGAGTAATATCTCTCACATAAAGATATGGCCAGGATGGAATGTGGTAACGTATGTGAGATGATTTTGTAAAACTAAAAGCATTCGGTAAATAATAGTTATTCTAATTAATATTGCCATCATTAATGATATCATATTAAATGTTAACATTGAGTCCTGGTCAAAGAGAAAGTTATAGAGTATTTGACCTTTTCAGGCCTTCTTCACGCACATGGATTACACACACACATTCCTAGTAAAGTTTTTGATCCACAGAACTACATACAGTAAGTGTAGAAGGTTGAAAGCTTCCAAAGCTGTTATGAAAAATCAGTCTTTGCTGTCAGCCCAGAAAACCACGTCAGTTTTTTTGCCAAATAACAATCAAAGCTGTAAAAATTTCCTTTCAGTTAACACTGGTTTCCATTATTGTTATTTGTTAGAAGTCTTTGAGGCCATTTCCTACTAATTCCGCCATGCTTGGCATGGAGCATTCTGGCTAAAGCTCTTAGTTGTCCTTGACTAATTGTAGTTGGACAGGGCAGTGAAAGTCTCATTGATGAGATTTTAACATCCTGGGGGTGTGGAGACTCACTGATGTAAAAGCCCAGGACTGAAATCCTCATTGTTTACACAAGCAGCTTCATGAGGCCTATTATCAATTATATCACCCTTTGTACTGCTTGGTCCCAAGTCAGTAAATCTTGTTTTTTGAACAATGTGGAGTGGGGGGATCCTGCAACTAAAAAGGAGGTAGGGAATTTAAGAGACTTTGGGTGAAATTACAAAGATAATTTTAAAGTTTAGCAAAAAATTTGGAGTACTGAGATAACATAGACAAAGAGAATGATTATGACAGTAACAAAGAGAGGTTGCTTTAATTAAACTGATTAATGGATGGTTTAGAGTGTATGTAACAGGAGGATTAGACTTAATATTTAGTTGTGGAAAAAAGGGCATTTTTATTGGATATATTCTTACAGTATCTTTAATACCTAGTTAAATCCTAGTTTTTCTTTTAAAGAGTTATACATCATATATTATAATCATTTTTATATTTTAAAAACATCTGAAAAATAACATAATTTTAGTCTACAGAACTTAATTTTTCAGTGAAAGCTTATGTCAAGAGATGTGGTGGATTTTGATTTTTGAAGGGGAGGTCAACAAATACATACTATTTTAGAAGGATGGCAAAAATAATTGTTTATATTTTATATATTTTGGTTTAAAATTTTTCTTTAATAAAATGGAATCAAATATGGGAATGTGTAATCTTCACATTCTTTGCCACTTTGAATTAAAGAAAACAAATTTTGTTACTTATGAAATTCTCAAATGATGTTTCAATTAATGGTGATTTAAAGACTGAAGACGTCTATTCCATGTCTGTAGAAGTAGCTACTTCTGTTATAAATTACATTAACAGTCAGTAGCTTATATACATAAGATATTTGGCTGCTTCTGCTTTTCATTAATATGGTTTTGGAATTTCACCAATTCAGGAACATAATATAGTGGAAAGGCCTTGGGCTCTGTAATCAGACAGACCTGGTCTCAAATCCTGGCAGTCTTGTACTTGCTGTGGGACCTGGGCAGCTCACTCAAATGCTGCTAACCCTACACCATAGGATTGTTCTGAGGATTAAATGTGATACACATATCAAGTGACTGATAGAGTGCCCGTGGAAAAGTAGGTGCTCAGTAAATATTCATTCTCTTCCCTTCCTTTCCCCCCATTTGTCCACTTGTGTTTTTAATGGATCATCTTTACTCTGGGTTGTGTTGTAGGAAGTATTCTGGATGGATGGCTGCTGGAAACCCAATGCCTTAGCCAGCTCTTCTTCAATACTTAAGGATTTACTCTGGCATTGAGTAATGAGAATTTTGGTAAGAAAAATTAGATAAAGATAGTATATAGACTTTTCTTAAAAGGTCACTTGTATCTCAGATACTTCATAATAAGTTATATGGCTCTTCTCTAAATATGTTGGGAAGTCACAGAGGTACGTTCACATATGGATTGTTGTTGTTTTGAAAATAAGTAAAACAGGTTTTTAAAGTCTGTTAACACCCTGATGTGCCCTTCATGTTGTTGTAAATGTATTATTTCACTTATCTCACCCTGTTTTGTTCTTTAAGTGTCTATGTACTCAGTAAGTTGTATAGTCTTTAACAGGTCTGGGTGTTATTCATCCCTTCAGTGTAGACTACATGAAGCACAGATTCTTAGAGGTTAAGTGGTTAAGTCAACACTGCTGTCTGAAACTATAAAGGTTTTGACAATGTTAAAGAGGCAGGCAGAGGTATTGAAACTCTGAGAAGTTCTAAGATAAGTGATTTTCCTAAATCACCCAGAAAAATGATTATATATTGACTCTCAGGGTGGTATAGAGTATCTTTGGTTGGTTCCATTTCTATCCAATTTTTCTCCAAATGATATTAATTTTTAATTTCATCATCACATGAAATTAATATATAACTAGTACACCTATATTAGTAATTCATGTTACTAATTTGTGTTGTATGAAATATGTTGGACATATTAGGAAAGAAGGATGAAAAGGAGGTTAAGGATAATAGAAACAAATTAAGCGCTAATATTAGCATATATGTAAATTAGTAAATATGTATATTTTCTTTAAATTATTGTCATTGAAATGCATCTGGAAAAATATGTATTGAAGAATTTTGCACATAGGAGACAGAGCTGAAGGTAGGGAGGAAAGCAAAAAAAGTAAATTCTAATTTCATTAATTCTGATAAGGAATTTTGAAATCTTGATATATTTACATTTTGGAACCTAAAAATATGATAATTTAAAAATTATTTTAAATCTCATTTTTTTCAATTTTATTAATTTTTTATACAACAGGTTATTATTAGTTATCCATTTTATACATATTAGTGTATATATGTCAATCCCAGTCTCCCAGTTCATCACACCACCACCACCACCCCCTGCCACCTTCCCCGCTTGGTGTCCATACATTTGTTCTCTACATTTGTATCTCTATTTCTGCCCTGCAAACCGTTCATCTGTACCATTTTTCTAGATTCCACATATATGCGTTAATATACAATATTTGTTTTTCTCTTTCTGACTTACTTCACTCTTATGACAGTCTCTAGATCCATCCACATCTCTACAAATGACCCAGTTTTCTTCCTTTTTAGCTAAAAAATTTTTAACTAAAAAATTTAACCACTTTGTCTATGATTATATATTTCAGAAACCATATTTGAGAAGTACTTCCATCCAGTGCTACTTGTGTTTACTTCTGAACAGTCATTTTTTAACTGAGGCTGGCATTCATGTCTTCATTTTGGGGTAATTTTATCTTTCAGCATAAAATCATCATGTTAATAACCATGATCATTGTTCTTCAATATCTTCTCTATTAAATTGGTTTATGTTCAGTTTGCTTAAATCCTTAGGTACTCAGTATTTGGGGCATGATAGAGGACAGATTATGGGAGATTCAGAGGAGGTTTGGTAAACAGCCTACAGAGCATTTCTATATTCGTGTAATATTCCAAATGAGTATTATATCCTGCAAATAAATTGGACTTCTTGGTATCTAACTAAAATTGGAAGTACACTCTTTATTAATATCCTGTGTGATTTTCACACCAGTAAAAAAAATTAGATATTGAGGGCTCACCCACATTACTTTATTATCTGTCCCTGGCACTGACTTCTCCTATCATTTGAGCCTTATGTTAGTTCAGTTTAAAACATTTCTTTCTTTATTGAGGCCTTTTGTTTTTCTTCCTAATAAACTTTCATATTTTTCCATGCCTATTAACTTTTTTCTTCTCTGTTAGATGCAACTAATACACTGCACTCACCCAACCTATAGTTATGTAATCTCTCAGTTCAGTTTTACTCTATAATGCCTTCATGCTGTGGGGAACCGTAGATTTGTGCAGGTAAATCCTCCTCTCAAAAGAAGAAAGTAGTATTGGCTCTCATGCTTCTGTACAGGACCCATCAAGGAGAGACTATTTTTCCTGAAGCTCTAAGAATTATTCTACAGTTACTCGGTCAATGTATGTGTCTTTTGTCCTGATATTAGGTTACTGTTTTACAAACAGTAAGTAAGCTATATGATCTAGTTTTATGACTAGATTAGGCTCAAGTCCATAACATTTATGGAGAAAGCTGCTATAAGGAGCATGCAAGGGGCATGTTTAACCTATTGCAAAGAATATTTACTGTCAAGATCATTACATGAAAAAGATGATTGCTTATTTTAAGAATTTTACCCATTTATTAGACATAAAAGTCTGATGGGACCTCTACTTAAAGAAAAGTAATAATTCATTCAAAAACATTACTGAGCATTACCACCCATCATGCACTGTTTTTATTTCATTGTGATAAATTGCACCAGGTTATTTATAAGTCATCCCTTCAAATTAGGCTTTTCTTTAATGCAGGTTGGTCATCAGGCTAGCCTAAAGCATCAGAGTTGTACTATATGTTCAGTTTTTATATTCATCTACAAGGCTGTCGAATACACAAAGGCAAGGATGGCACTCATCTTTTCACTTGTTGGATAAAAAAAAGTCTTGATTGCTCTTTTGCCTATAGTATTCATCAAGACAATATTATGTTCATTCAAAATGCTTTGCTGTTTGGTTTTGCTTTCAGTTGTATCAGTGCAGGTCTTCCTAAAACAGAAGCAAACTGGCAGCATGTAATAAGTGATTTGAAAAGAATTGAAGATCTTATTCAAGTGAGTACTCATTTTTCCATAAAATATCTGGTATAATTGCTATGCAGTACGTTATTCCTTGTGTTTTGCTGTCAATCTTAGTGAAATCTCACTTGAAACAAAAACGTTTCTGTAGAATTGGTGAGCCTCGTAGCACCTCAAATGAACTCTTTTATTTAGAATTTTCAGACCCTAATTATCTTTAAAACTCAGTTTATGAGTGGCCCAGCATGAAGAGCTCTCCGTCACCACCCACCAGAGAGACTCCCTTCTCCTACCCAAGAAACCAGGCGGCTTTGGGGCCCTTGTGGGGGGAATGGCCTGACTCAGGGAAGGGCTGTCTATTCCATGGGCTAGAGAATGCTTCTCCCACCTGGAGACACCAGCTGACCTGGCAGAACCTGTAGAGGGGAGAAATATGGGCTGTACTATTGTGTGGGCGATACAACAGGGACCAGTGAGAGTCCCGGGTCAGCAGGTGTACCAAACCTTTCAAATTAGCACCACAAAGATTCTGAAAACTGGACCGTCATTGGAATCACAGCATGCAAACATAGGTCAGAACCTCTACGCTAAGCCTACACAGGGTGGCTGCATGTTAAAACAGAAGATTCAAATTGGACCAGGGTCTCCTGACATAATAGCCCAAATACCAGAATACAATTGAAAAATCACTTTTCATACCAAGAAGCAGGAAAAATCACAACTTGAATGAGAAGAGCCTCGGAAACAGACTCTGAAACTGAGATGGATTAGATGTTGGAATTATTTGACAAGGATTTTAAAACAGGTGTCATGAAGATGTACCAGCAAGCAATTACGAATATCCTTGAAACAACTGAAAAAAAAAAAACAAAACCAGAAAGTCTTAGCAAAGAAATACAATATGTAAAATGCACCAAATGGAAATTACAGAACTAAGAAATACAACAAGTGGAATATGAAACAAACTGGAGAGGCTCATTAGCAGAATGAATATGACAGAGGAAAGACAGTCAACTTGAGGATAGAATAATAGAAACAAAATAGACTGAAAACAAAGCAAATAAAGCCTCAGGGATCTTTGGGACAGTAAAAGATCCAGCATTCCTAGCATTCTCATCCTAGAAGGAGAGGAGAAAAAGAATACAAATAAAAGACAGAGATTGGCCAAATTGATAACAAAAGACAAACCAACTTTATGCTGTCTACGAGGAATTCACTTCAAATTTACATGTATATACAAATATATATACATATATAATATGTATACAAACATACACATATAATGTGTATATAATATATACACAAATATATACATATATAATATGTATATATATTATATATATATATATATATAATGACATAAGTAGGTTGAAATTAAAAGAAGAGAAACCCATGCTGTAGTGGGTTGAATAATGTCCCTCCAAAATTCATGTCCACCTAGAACTTCAGAATGTATCCTTATTTGGAAATGGGGTCTTTGCAAATATAATTAGTTAAGGTGAGGTTATAGTGGAGTGGGGTGGTCCCAAATCTAATGACTAGTGTCCTTATAAGAAGAGGACAGGATACATAGACACAGGGAAGAAGGCCGTATGAAAACCGAGGCAGCTACAAGCCAAAGGAGATTGGAATGATACGACTACTAGCCAGGGAAGGCCAAGGATCCCCTGGAGCTGCAAAGGGTTTGGGAGCCATAAGGAAGGACAGTTCTCTAGAGCCTTCAGAGGGAACAGGCCCAGTTGACTCCTTGGCTTTGAACTGTAAGTGAATGAATTGTTTGAAGACACTTACTTTGTGATACCTTGCTACAGCAGCTCTAGGAAACGGAGGCACATGCACATAATAATTCACACAATAATTTTACAAATCAGAAGTGGCTATATTCATATCAGATAATGTAGACTTCACAGCAAATAAAGTTATATGAGTCACGAGAGACATTACATCATGGTAAAAGATGAGTCCACCAGGAAAACATAATGATCTTAAATGTATACCTACCAAACAGCAGAGCCTCAAAATGTAAGAAGCAAAAACTAATAATAGAACCGAAAGGTGAAGCAGACGAATCCATAAATATATTAACAGTTGACTTTAGTACCTCCTCAGTGACAAATAGAACTACTAGACAGAAAATCAGACAGGATATAGAAGAACTGGATGACACAGTCAACCAACAATATCTCATTTCCATAGAAAAACACTTCATCCAACAACAGTGAATAAACGTTTTTTTCAGGCAACACTCACCAAGACTGAACATATCCTGGGCCATAAAACAAACTTCAGCACATTTATCAGAACTGAAATCATGCAGAATATGTTATCCAACCACAGTGCAATCAAGTAGAAGTCAATTACATAAGTACAACCGGAAAATCTCCAAACACCTGGAAATTAAATGAGACACTTATAAACATTCCATGGGTCAAAGAGCAGGTCTCAAAGGATATTTAAAAATATAGAACTGAATGGAGACAAATATGCAACATAGGAAGTTTTGTGGGATTTAGCTAAAGCTTTACTTAGTGGGAAATTGATAAAACTAAATGATTACCTTAGAAAAGAGGAAAGATCTCAGTTTACCAATCTAAGTGACTGTCTCAAGAAACTGGGAAAAGAGCAAAATAAGCCCAACACGTGCAGAAGGAAGGAAGGAATAAAAAGGAAGGAAGGAAGGAAGGAAGGAAATTGAAATCAGGAAAACAATAGACAAAAATCAACAAAACATAAAGCTCTTTACTTTGGGAAAATAAATCAATAAAGTCAATAAACCTTTAGAAAGCCTGACAAAGATAAAAGAGATGACACATGCCATTAGTATCAGGACTGAAATTGGGGTCTTACTACAGAACCTACAACCATTAAAAGGATACGAAAGAAAAACTATGAACAACTTTATTCTCGTAAATTTGATAATTTGGAGGAAATGGACAATTTCCTCAAAGACCACAAACTACCAAAATGTAACAAATGCAAGACCTGTTCCGTATTCGAAAATCAATCAATGTAATCCACTATATGAGTAGACTAAAGTAGGAAATCATATGATCATATCAACTGATGCAGAAAAGACATTTTAAAACTGCAGCACCTCTTCAATGATAAACATGATAAATATTTCTCAGCAAACAAGGAATAAAGGAGAAGCTCCTTCAGTTTGTTACAGAGCATGTACAGAAAACCTAGAGCCGACATTAGACTTAATGGGGACTGACTGCTTTTCCCCTAAAATTGGGAACAAGGCAAGGATGTCTTTTCTTACCACTCTTATTCAACATAGTATTGAAACTTTAGCTCAATTGGCAAGGCAAGAAAAAAAGAAATAAAAGGCTAAGGCAAGAAAAATAAGTAATAAGTATGCATATTAGAAAGGAAGAAATCATAGATCACCCTAAGTCTTTTTTGGAGAGAAAGTACCAATAAATGGCTGTATTTTATTTAGGGAATGCAAATTAAAGCCTCAATGACATGTCACCTATATGAATATTTAAAATAAAAAATATTGATAATACCAAATGCTGGCAAGGATGTGGAGAAACTGGATCATTTATATATTGCTGGTGAGAATGTGAAATTGTACAGCCACTCTACAATAGTTTGGCTGTTTCTTATAAAACAAAACACGCATTTGCCGTATGATCCAACAGTTACACTCAAACATTTATATTAGAGACATGAAAACATGCATATGAATGTTAATAGAACTTTATTTATGATAGCTAAAAACTGGAAAGAACCCAAATGTCCTTCAACAGGTCAACAGTTAAGCTTCGGTACATTATATCAAACAATAATAGTGAGCAGTACTAAGGAACAAATTACTGATACAACAAGTTGTGTGGATCTCCAGAGTATTATGCTGTGTGAAAAAAAGCTAGTGGGGTAAACAAACTGTAGTTCGTCCATACAATGGAATATTATCAGCGATAAAAAGAAATAAGCTGTTTAGCCATGAAAAGGAATGGAGGAACCTTAAGAGCATATTGCTAATGAAAGAAGCCAATCAAAACAGGCTACATACTATATGATAGGATACTATATGATTCCAACTATATGACACTCTGGAAAAGGTTGGATACAATACAACAGGGGATAAGGGAAAGGGAAGGATGAAAAGGTGGAGCACAAGTGATTTTTAGGGCAGCGGAACTATTTTGTATGATACTGTAATGATCAACGCATGTCATTATACATTTGTCAAGAACTATAGGTGTACACCACCAAGAGTGAACCCTGATGGAATCTATGGACTTTAGTTGAAAATGTATCAATATTGACTCATCAATTGTAATAAATGTACCACGCTAAAGCGAGATGTTAATAATAGGGGAAACTTGGGAGGGGGCCAAGCGGCCATATGGGAACTTTCTGTACTTTCTGCTCATGTTCTGTAAACCTACGACTGCTTAAAAAATAAAGTCTATTAAGTTTTTCAATAAGCCTATTTCAAAAGGTTATATGCTGTATGATTCCATTTATATAACGTTCTTGAAATGATATCATAGGAATGGAGAGCAGAGAAGTGGTTGCTGGGGATTTGATGGATGGTAGGAGGTGGGAGGAGCATGTCTGGAGGAAGTTGATTGTGGCTATACAACGGTAGCAGGAGGATTCTGTATCTTAACCGTGATAGTGGTTACGTGAATTTACACCTCTGATAAAATGGCATGGAACTACACACACACGCACACACACACTAGTGCACATAAAACTGGTGAAATCTGAACAAAGTGGGTGGATTGCATCCGTGTCAATTTCCTGGTTGTGCTATTTTACTGTGTTATGCAGGACCTCGACACTGGAGGAAACAGTGAAGGCGTACACAGGATTTGCCTGTATTTTCTCTTACAATTTCATATGAATCTAAGATTATCTCAAAATACAGAATTTCACTGAAAAAAGTGTTAGTGTTTTCAGTAGGTTGTTCTCATTATATCTAAAGCGGGAATAGTTTTTCATATTACCGAATTTTGTTTCCATTTCAGTCTATACATATGGATGCCACTTTATATACTGAAAGCAATGCTCATGTGAGTATAGTTTGTTTTCAATATTGCTATATTTTCCAATTTTCAAAGGTCTAAGAAGTATATTTTCATAAGTTTACTGGACTGTGTATAGTTTTAAAATCTAACTTTTACATAGATGCTGTTTTCATGGTAGCATCATTGCCGAATCAAAACATAAACTTTTCCCATCAATGTCCAGCAATATATAGTACATATTTCTGTGATGCAATTAAATCATGATGCTGTTAAATACAAGAATCAAGTTAACTCAGGCAATTTAAAAGTATCCAATATATCAGTTGTCTCCAGTGCTGTAGCATATTATCACTTTTAATCATATTTTTTACAAATTGTTTAAATACATTCATGCTCTACATTTTGCCTGAATCTCTACCGTTGTCAAAAGGGGATTCTGACTGGTTACTCTCCATGTGAGAAAAAAACCAAACACAACCCACAAAGTCTATCAGAATTCAAAACTGATCTCGAACTTGTTTCATTAATATGCTGCTGATGTTGCCTTAGTCATATAGGATTTCAGCTGAGTTGCTAGTCCTTCCCCTCTGAATTGGCTACAAAAAACCAAGAAACAAATCCCTGACATCTTCACTTCGTGAAAAACAAACTGTGTTGTGTGCGTTCAGAACAGTGAGCCCTCTCTCTATTATTCCTTAAGTAGAATTTCTCTGCAATAGAAGGTTTTGCCCTATTAAGACTTTCTAAGCATTGGAAAGAAGCCACAGCCAGAAACTAGAAAGAACAGATACCCATCATTCACTTAGATAGTGCTGCTGTGCTAGAAATTGCTTCCCTCTTTTGGCTTCAGCATGTTTTCCACTTTTCTTTGCATATTCTTCAAAGTAGAAAGCAGTCAGCTAACCACCAGCACTCCGAATCCTGAGATTGCTTTTTTTGTAAGACGATAACCTCGCAACCCGTGGGTTGTAGAAAGTAGTTGAGATTGAAATTTAGATTTAAACCCTGACTCAGCCACTTCCAAGCTTTGTTACTTTGGAAGACACTAAATATTTCTGAACCTCAGTTTTATTATTTATTTTATTTATTATTTAGTTTATTATCGACATGGTGACAGCATTTATTACCCTTTCAATCCGGAGAAGCTGCTGTGGGGGAATAAGGAATATTGCTAGTCCCAGGCACATGGCTGTCATCCTTCCTTCCTTCCTTCTTCCTTCCTTGCTTCCTTCCTTCCGTAAGCACCTGTTAAGTGCCTGCAGAGTCCCAGGCACTGTGCATGACATTGAGAACAGGAAATCAGACACGTCGTGGTCAAATTCCCACATGCTCATTAAATGCTTCTTTTGTTTGAAGTTTAAGTTTTTGTTAAAGTAATCCTCTTGGGAAATGTATTTTTGTGGGACCTGAAAGGTACCTTTCTGACATGGCCAGCCTGTGAATAGACCATACACCAGCTTTGATTTTTCTAAGAAATTTCTTGGAATCACGTCTGCCTCTGGAACTTTGGAACTTGCAGGAATAGTATGATTAGCAGCCACCACTGTTTAAAATGTTAACAATATGATCTGATTCTAAGAAATTCTTCCATATGCACCATCTCTATTAATGTTCTGAGAGTCTCAGGTCAGTATTATCTGTCCTTTACACAGAGGAAATGTGCTTTGTGAGGAAAAAGTGGCCTATTATTTCCACGTTTTCTAGTTTTATGTTCTTTCTTCTATACAGTATCACCATCCTTTCTGTTTTGTTCTCAGTTTGTTTTGGTTTTGATATCAAAGCCAAAAGAGAAGAAAAAAATCAAGCTGCTTCCTATGTAAAACTTTTTAGGGGTGTTGTGTTTCTTTATAAAATAGCTGGATTGACTTTCTAAAAAATCAAAATTACATCTGTGTGAAACTGAATAATGGGGAAATAATTCTTTCCTTTTCTCTTTCAAAATGGTTCTTTGCATCTCTTTTAGCCCAGTTGCAAAGTAACAGCGATGAAATGCTTTCTCCTGGAGTTACATGTGATTTTGCATGAGTCCAGAAATTCAGACATTAACGATACAGTAGAAAACCTTATCATCCTAGCAAACAGCAGTTTATCTTCCACTGAGGTGAGTTATCCAGTAGTTATGCAGAGCTACATCAGATGCTCTTGGCTTGATTGGGAGAAATCATGCACAGGCTCCCCGGAAGGGGAGTGTGGATAGTGACCTGTGCTTGCACACAGGCTTCTTGGTGGCTGCAGTAGCAGCCTTAGCGTCTCATGCCTGTCTCTGGTGTCTGCACTGATAGCCACGGCTCGCACCCATCTCTGGAGCTTGTTTAGGCAGTGCTCTGAATCCCCTCTCCTCGCGCACCCCAAAACAATGGTCTCTTGCCTCTTAGGCAGTTCCAGACATTTTCCTGGACTCCCTCCCAGTTAGCTGTGGTGCACTAGCCCCCTTCAGGCTGTGTTCACGCAGCCAACCCCAGTCCTCTCCCTGGGGTCTGACCTCCGATGCTGGAGCCTCAGCTCCCAGCCCCCACCCACCCCGGCAGGTGAGCAGACAAGCCTCTCGGGCTGGTGAGTGCTGGTCAGCACCGACCCTCTGTGCGGGAATCTCTCCGCTTTGCCCTCTGCACCCCTTTTGCTGTGCTCTCCTCCTTGGCTCCGATGCTTGCCCCCTGCCTCCCCCCATTTCCGCCAGTAAGGGACTTCCTAGTGTTTGGAAGCTTTTCCTCCTTCAGAGCTCCTTCCCAGAGGTGTAGGTCCCATCCGTATTCTTTTGTCTCTGTTTTTTCTTTTGCCCTACCCAGGTACGTGGGGAGTTTCTTGCCTTTTGTGAAGTCTGAGGTCTTCTGCCAGCGTTCAGTAGGTGTTCTGTGTAGGAGCTGTTCCACATGTAGATGTATTTCCGATGTATTTGTGGGGAGGAAGGTGATCTCCACATCTTACTCCTTCGCCATCTTGAAGGTGTCTCTGAAACTGTTTAAATTACTATAATTTGTGGTATTCATCGAAATAGTTGAATTCAACCAATAATAATTGGGTGAATATTATGTGCCAGGCCCTATGCTAAATGCTAGGGGAGCAAAAATACATAGCCTTGCCTTCCTGGAAAAGCCTAGAGAAGAGTGGTATGAGAAGCATAAAGCTCCATGATATCAATGTAATACATGATGTGATATAAGACGGAGTCTAAACAAGAGGTTCTGAGAATGTAGAGAAGGGACATTTCGTGCAGCCCCAGGAGCTCTCAGGTTCAGAAAAGCCTTCCTAATGGAAACAGCGCCTGAATGATCTTAAGTGTGAGTGGTAGTAGCTAAAATAGAAGTGTGGAACAGGCAGAGAAAAACGCAAAGACAGCGAGGCACCTAATAGCCTGATGTATGTATGGGAGCTAAAGGCATGAGCCCAGTGTTCCTAGGGCATATCTTTGAGCTGTGGAAAACGTGAAAGAAATAGGTAAGGAACCGCTCAAGGAGGGCCTGCATGCCATGCAGTGAAGCATGGACTTCATGCTGGGGTAGATGACCAGAAACTATTGAAGGACTCTAAACAGAAGTTCATGATTCAATAGATTATTTTTTTTTTAATTTTTTTTTCATTGTCCTTAATTCACTCTAGGAAAAATCAGCCCTCATCAAATCACCCATCGTTCTTCCTAATATGATAGTTAATCTACCAACAAATTTATGTCTCAAGACTTCACCGTATGGTTCAAATGATATGAGATTTGCAGGAAAGGCATATTTTAGACTTTCCAATCTAATCCTTTCTTTTTATTTGCAGTATAAAACTGAATCGGGATGCAAAGAATGTGAGGAGCTGGAGGAAAAAAATATTAAAGAATTTTTGAAGAGTTTTGTACATATTGTGCAAATGTTCATCAACCCTTCTTGAGTGCAGCTAATCCTTTTCAGCATTTCTATTATTAACAAACATCTCCCCACTGCTTAGAGGCAACAACGAAACACTCAGCATTTCAAATATGCTGCCAAAATAAATTCTTCTGGCAAGAGGATGATCAGGATCTTTGATCGGATGGACTCACAGAAATGAAGGCCGAACAATGGCATTGAGTACCATGGTGTCTACGAACACAGGACTTATTTTATTCATTTATTTTTAATTTATTATTGAGATTGTACATATTTGTAGCATAATGTAAAATGTTGAATAAAATTGTGTATATATTTTATCTTTTGAAATTGCACTGATATTTTATGTCATAAGAAAATAGAGGGTGTTTGGTTCAAGGGTGACAGTCAAATTATTTAACAACCAGTGGGGCTGGACACCACTGCTGTAGGTAAAGAGGATGCCCCAACCAATGTGGAAATTGACTACCAGCCTTCCTTTACTTCTCCTTTAGGTGTAGCACTTGGAGGGAGAATTGACTACCAACGAGAAAGGAGGAACTAGATGTGAGACCAGTAATTTCGTTATTGATATATAAAGCGCTTGTTATGAGAGAGAGAATTTGCAAGTACCCGGCATGGAATGTGCATCAGTCCATCTCAGGTGGGGATGGCAATAATAAACCTTCACTGATAGGTGGAACTGTGTATCAAAAACTAATGATTGCACCGGTGTTTATATTTCATGCTTCCCCAAGTACAGGTATTTTATTTTTCTACATTGTATTTGCCATGTTTGTATAATAAAAAACTGCTGATGAGTTAAAGTCAAGATGATCTGGCATAAAATAATTGTTTCTATTATTTTTTAGTATACTGTCTAAAATTTTCAAACTCTTTTCAAATGGAACTGACTGAAATGAAATATTCTCATTTCATCACAAATTTCTTTCCCCCGGTTCACTTCTGGCAGTCTTTACTGAGAGACTAAATGGCAGGAATTGATCTCCTAAGAACTGGATTTCTTTCCATTTCACAGTACAAACCATTTCTCTATTGAAACATTCTTTTGGAGTCCAGTGCCCCATCCAGGCTCATGTATCTCATTCTTTTAGTCAATGTATGCTTAAAATTTTCTTGCAGCAATTTTAAAAGTTAAAATACAGATTTTTTGATAATTATTCAGTTGAGGTCAAATTATTGTAATAAGTCAAGAAAATTTTACTATGTGCATTAAACCCAAATACATTACAGGAATTCTGTTTTTAGTTTAATCTTTCTAGATGCGAATGATAATGTCTAAAACATGACAATATATTTCTCTGAGATAAAAATAGTCTAGATGGAATGATGGCATTTGTCAACCACAGTCATGATCATGCTTCTACTCTTTTATTTTGGTTCTTGTGGTACAACATTTTGGTTCTTGTGGTACAACATTTTGGTCTGTGACTTAGATAAAGATAGAAGGGGTGCTTATCAAATTTGTGGAATATGTAAATTATGTAACAGAATAAAAATTTACAATTGCCTCAGACTAGAAGGAAGTACCAGTGTAACAAGATGAAAATTAACAAGGATGTACAAAGAGTTCCGTACTTGGCCACAATAATGAACTGCAAGAGAAGGAATAAGGAAGATGCAGCTGGATTCAGCAGAAAAACATTTTAGGTTTTTATGCACTAGTAACTCAGTGTAAGTTGACAGTTTGATATGACTATTAAAAAGGCAATTGCAATTGTTGGCTACTTTCATATAAATATATTACTTAGGTCAGTATTTTTAAAGTGTGACCAATGGCATCAAAATCACCTGGAAGCTTTTATGTTTGTTTGTTTTTTGTCTTTTACAGTATTGAGAAATAATTGGCATACATCACTATATACGTTTAAGATGTAGAGCTTGAGGTTTGATTTACATATATTGTGAAATGATTAACAAAATAGGCTTGGCTAACGTCATCTTCTCATATAGATACAATATAAAGAAAAGAAAGAGAAAAGAAAACAGGGAAAAAAAATTTCTCCTTGAGATGAGAACTTAAAGAATTTACTCGCTGGGACTTCCCTGGTGGTACAGTGGTTAAGAATCCGCCTGCCAACGCAGGGGACACGGGTTCGAGCCCTGATCCAGGAAAATCCCACATGCCATGCAGCAACTAAGCCCATGCACCGCAACTACTGAGCCTGCGCTCTAGAGCCCATGAGCCACAACTACTGAGCCTGCGTGCCTAGAGCCTGTGCTCTGCAACAAGAGAAGCCACCACAATGAGAAGCCTGCACACTGCAACAAAGTCACCCACACTCACCGCAACTAGAGAAAGCCCATGCGCAGCAACGAAGACCCAATGCAGCCAAAAATAAATAAATTTATTTTTTTTAAAAAGGAATTGGGCTTCCCTGGTGGCACAGTGGTTGACAGTCCGCCTGCCGATGCAGGGGACATGGGTTCCTGCCCCGGTCCGGGAGGATCCCACATGCCATGGAGCGGCTGGGCCCGTGAGCCATGACCGCTGAGCCTGTGTGTCTGGAGCCTGTGCTCCGCAACGGGAGAGGCCACAACAGTGAGATGCCAGCGTACCGCAAAAAAAAAAAAAAAAAGGAATTTACTCTCTAAACAACTGTCCTATAAATCATAGGTCAGTGTTAGCGAGAGTCATCACGTTGTACATTACATCCCTAGCACTTATTTATCTCGTCACTAGAAGTTTGTACCTTTTGACCATCTTCCTCTCTTTTTTTAAAATGAGTTGTTGTTTTTAAGAGTTCACACAAAAGTGAGATCATACAGTATTTGTCTTTCTCTGACTTATTTCACTTAGCATAATGCCTTTAGGTTCCATCTATGTGGTCACAGGTGGTGAAATGTCTTCATTTTTTATGGCTAAATAATATTCCATGGGATACATATGTGTGTGTGTGTATACACATACATATATATGCCTCAACTTCTTTATCCATTAATCCATAGATGAACACTTAGGTTGTTTCCATATCTTGGCTGTTGTAAATAATACTTCTGTGAACCTAGGGGTACAAATATATTTACAAGTTAGTGTTTTTGTTTCCTTTGTATATATTCCCAGAAGCAGAATTGTTGGATCATATATATGGTAGTTCTATTTTTAATTTTTTGAGGAACTTCCATAGTGTTCTCCATAGTGGCTGCACCGTCTTACAATCCCATCATCTGTGCACAGGGTCCCCTTTTCTCCATATCCTCACCAATACTTGATATTTGTTGTCTTTTTGACACTAGTCATTCTAATAGGTGTGGGATAACTTCTCATGGTTTTGATTTGTGTATCCCTGATGGTTAGTGATGTTGAGCATCTTTCCATGTATCTGTTGGCTTTGTACATCTTCTTTGGAGAAATGTTTATCAGGTCCATTGAACATTTATTAAATTTTTTAAATTGAGTTGTATGAGTTCTTTCTTTGTTTTGGATATCCACCCTGTTTCAGATATATAGTTTGCAAATATTCTTTCCCATTCTATAGGTTGCCTTTTCAGTTTGTTGGTGGATTCTTTTGCTGTGCAGATGTTTTTTGGTTTGATGTAGTCCCACTTATTTATTTTTGATTTTCGTTGCTTGTGCATTAGACGTCATGTCCAAAAAACCATTATCAAGACCCATGTAAAGGATTTTTATTCCTATGTTTCCTTCTAGAAGTTTCATGATTTCAGATCTTACATTTAAGTCCTTAATTCATTTTATTTAATTTGTGTGTGTGGTGTGTTAAGATATGGGTCCAGTTTCATTCTTTTACATGTGGGTATCCAGCTATCCCAGCACAATTTATTGAAAAGAACTTCTTTTCTCCATTAAGTATTCTCAGCTCCCTTGTCAAATATTAGTTGGCTATATATGCTTGGTCTTATTTCTGGGCTCTCAATTCTGTTTCTTTTGTCTATTGTCTGTTTTTATGCCAGTACTATACTATTTTGATTACTATAGCTTTATAGTTTAGCTTGCCTCCTTATTTGTTCTTCTTTCTCTGTATTTCATTGGCTGTTTGGGGTATTTTGTGGTTCTATATAAATTTCAGGAGTGCTTTTTCCACCTCTGTAAAAAAGGCCATTGAAATCTTGATAGGGATTGTATTGAATCTGTAGATGGCTTTTGGTAGTATTGACATTTTAACAATATTTATTCTTCCAATCCATGAATATGGGATATATGTATAGCTCATTGTTTAGGGGCCCAAATCAGGCCAAAATGTGCACTGAACTACCTAGTCAGGTGAGGCCACTAGCTTTGCTCTGCAGATGGGGAGAGCCAACAGCTGTGCGGTCTGTTCAAGTGCCACTGTGCATAGGCTACTGAAAGGGCTCTGCACCTTCCTATATGCGCTGGTTAGGTTCCCTGGTAGGACAGGCTGAAGGACCATGAATTAGATTCCTTGCCAGGACGCAGTGGGAGAAGCAGCTCTAAAGCTAGTAAAGCTCTTCATTTTTTGTCTTAACTCAAGCCAACCAACACCCCAGGTTTCCTGACAGAGCAGGGTCACTGGCTTTGTTCTGCAAAGCCAGCTCCGCCCACCTGCCTCTTGGCTCAAGTGCCACTGGGTTGCACAACTTCCAGGAGTTGTCTCCAGCTCTTCTGGTCAGGTGGGATCAGAAGACACTCTCCACAGTGGGTGGAGCTATATCTCAGCTCCCTTGCCTGGGTGGGAGGGGAAGCTATTCTCAATAAAATGAAAAGTTTTAAAGCTTTTATTTTATTTTTTTCCCTAGCTTTTCTACTGATGGAGAATAGAAAAAGATGTCACAAAGAAAGAAAACTACAGGCCAATATCACTGATGAGCATAGATGCAAAAATCCTCAACAAAATACTACCAAACAGAATCCAACAGCACATTAAAAGGATCATACACCATGATCAAATGGGGTTTATCCCAGGAATGCAAGGATTTTTCAATATATGCAAATCAGTCAATGTGATTAACCATATTAACAAACTGAAGGAGAAAAACCATATGATCATCTCAATAGATGCAGAAAAAGCTTTCAACAAAATTCAACACCCATTTATGATAAAAGCTCTCCAGAAGGTAGGCATAGAGGGAACTTTCCTCAACATAATAAAGGCCATATATAACAAACCCACAGCCAACATCGTTCTCAATGGTGAAAAACTGAAACCATTTCCTCTAAGATCAAGAACAAGACAAGGATGTCCACTCTCACCACTATTATTCAACATAGTTTTGGAAGTTTTAGCCACAGCAGTCAGAGAAGAAAAAAAATAAAAGGAATCCAAATTGGAAAAGAAGTAAAGCTGTCACTGTTTGCAGATGGCATGATACTATACATAGAGAATCCTAAAGGTGCTACTAAAAAACTACTAGAGCTAGTCAATGAATTTGGTGAAGTAGCAAGATACCAAATTAATGCACAGAAATCTCTTGCATTACTATACGCTAATGAAAAATGCACCATTTTTAACTGGAAGTTTCCAATCCAGTCCTTAGACAACAGTTAGCCTCCAAGCAGTTGTTGGGATGGAGGAAGGAAAACCATAATGGCTGTCACATTACCAAGAACCGTAATTATCACATTATATAACCAATATTGTCACATTATCAATAACCATAATTATCACATTACATAACCAATATTATCACATTACCAAGAACCATTTATAGTGACTGGTAATCTATTCTGGTTATATAAGCACAGAGTGGGTTTAAAATTTGGTATTTTCCAATGCTCAAAATTAGAATTCCTCCCACATTAGTTACTTAATATGGATAACTTCAGTTGATCTTAAGAAACTCAAGGCATAGATGTGCAACTTCTTAAAGCATCCTTAGCTAACTTAAGAAAAA